AGAAAGAAAGAAAGAAAGAAAGAAAGAAAGAAAGATAGATAGATAGATAGATAGATAGATAGATGATAGATAGAATATACAGCAATAAAATGTAAGAGAGAGGGTTGTTTTAATTCATTTTGGGCTCACAGGGAGGACCTCTGAGCAAAACGCGCCCATCCAATTGTTCCAGTTTTAGACAAACGGATGAAGCTGCTAGTCATCCCTCTAGTCCTCATTGAGGCTGTTCCAGAAAGGGCTGCGGTGGTGACGATGGGTTGGCTCAGCCGGAGGGATGCCCAGCTCAGACACGAACCGGCCTTGAACCCTCTCGAGGCAGTTCCAAATCTGCCGTTCTTGAACAGGACCAAGGGGGTGAATGAGCAAACCCTAGCACGGCCTTGGCAGTTGGGGCGGGCATCTCCCCCCCCGACCATCCACCTTTTCGTGCCAACGCTGGGAGTGGCAGAGGAAGTGCCACACCAGGGCCAACATATGGCGAAATCCAACAGGCTGAAATAACGCGTTTGGCTTCTCTGTCTTTTATCAGGCTCCGTGTTAACGTGTTTGCCCTAAAGTGACAAAACAACCCCGTCTCTAACATGAAACGTGGGTAACGCGACAGCAATTAGCCCCTTCCCACCGCTTCTTGCGGATAAATTAGCCTCCTCGTTTTCCCCCATCACAGACCCGCTCGCAGGAACCAGATGGCAGTTAAAGGAAGGGAGAAACGCAGCTAGCTGCGGAGGAAATTGGTCGGGTGGCACGCATATGGCATTTGTCACAGTAAAAAGGCTTTCAAAGTCTCCCCGCCGCGAGACGGCTTTGGAGGCACCAGCCTGGGTGGCACCGGGGCTCGGTGGCTGCATTCGCACAACATAACCCACCGGGTTAGTGAGAACACAAGCGTGGCACCTGCCCTCATGAACCACGTTAGTTCTACTTGGGCATTTTAGCTGTGCTTGGCAGCGACCCGCGGGTGGTTCCCAATCTTGGCCGAACCCGAGAAATGCCTTCGTCTGGCCATCTGCTGAAGCAGGTTGGGATACCAGCAAAGTGATTTTTTGGCAGCTTAAGTCTCAAATTATTCCACGCCATTCCAGTCCGGTCCCTCCCCGTTGGAAATTCAACCCCTGGGTGCTGCAAACAGACTTTCTCCCAGGCTTTGGGTCTGGGAGCCTGCAAAGACACGGCCACCAGGCTGGGGATGAGGGGGGCTGTAGTCCAACCAAGTTGGGGAAGCCTTGGGCCTCCGTAATGCCCACCTGAAAGGCGGATCATTAATTGGGTGTTGTTTCAGGGAGATGGTGCCCGATCACGCCCCGAGGGTTGCCAGGGGAGAAGTGGGGAAGCAAAACATTTCTGCAGCCAAGAATGTCCAACGTCAACCTTTGCTTGGAGCAATTTGGTTTGTGGGTGTGGGTGTGCGCGCATATGTGTTTTTAATGGAGAGCAGAGTCCACTTTGCACAATCCTCAATCCTGGGTCATTCTCAACCCAATTGGGTGAAGAAAAAAAAGCTAAAAAGAGATAGGGCTGGAAGGTGCGTACATATAAACTGCTTTTCTGGCTCAAAAAATGACATAAACCTGCCTCCTGTTTGCTGCAGGGCTCCAACCACTCAGCTTCTGGGGAGCCCGCGAGAAAGACGCAAACATTCAATCCGCACTGTATTTGGAACCAGAAACAGGCCTATGATAGGATGACTGGTGTCCTTTCAGATTCCCAGATTGAATCTGTGGAACTCCTTGTTTTCTACGATGGCCAAGATGAACATTTTTGCTTTCTTGGTTACCACCCAAAACTAGTTGCAGTTTTATGGATGCCTGCTTTTTTCCTCCTCCTTTCCAACTCCCTTTCCTCTCGTGCCGTGCCTTTAGGTTGCAAAGCCGAAAGCGTGGATTGCATTATTAATAAACTTCAAAACTCAGTCTGGGAGATTTTGTGGTCCGAGCGGCATTATTTAACACAATATAGAGCAGTTTAACTTTGAATGTCCTGGAAAAGGACACATTCCATCATTTTAGGGTTTAATTCTTGTAAGAGGCTTGTAATTCCACCCAAATGGGCTCTTGTAATTCCACTTGCTCTTGGGCTCTTTAAATATACTGCTATTTAAATAACACAGGTGATGAGACATAAATTTGATAGACCTGGGAAAACTAATTTTATGACCTTTGTAGAAAGATAAGCCTCGCTTAAGGAAGAAAGAAGGAAGGAAATAAATTAATTTTGGCTTGGATTTCAGATCCAGAAGGGTGCCTGAGATAAGGACTGTAAAAAGCTCCAGTGTGCCTCTGAGCATGTGCAGTTCCCAAATTGCCCTGCCCTCAGCGATCCACAGATTTGGAATTCTAAGTTTAGAAAATGGGGCAGGGGAGAGAAAGGCCCAGGCAGTGGAAAAAATGCGAGTATCAGCCAGACGAAAGAAAGGAAGGAGGCTTTTTCAGAACTGCACATATAAAGCAAAGGTCCAAAGGTTGAGCAGATGGAGCCGGGCGAGACGCAGAAGGTAATTTCTGCCTGCGGACGATCTCCGGCAGCGCTTCCTTTGGTCAGCTCAAGCGGATCTTGCTCTGGCCAAACCTTCGCTCGCCCGCGAGGACTGCCCTCCGGCCCTTCTGCTCTCTCTTCTCTGCTGACCTTTCCGTTTCAATAAAACGTTCAATATCGAAATATTCAATTGCAGTAAAAACCTTCCGTTTTTACGGTGCCTCCATAAAACGGGCTTGGCCCCAGCCTGCCAATTTTTCAGCAACAAGGTGCCTTCCTAGGAGCGTAGTCTAGTCCCAAAGGCTGCGATATTGGTCAGGAAGAGAGATCTGCATCAGCCCAAGTAGGGGGTGAGTACAGGGGGCACCCCCAGCAGCTGGTGTAAAGAACCGTGTTGCTCCTACGCCCTGCCCTAGGGTGCTAAAATCTTCAGCACTCCTTTGCCCAAGAAGATGCCCTCTGCGTGGGTTAGGAGGCACGCTTCCAGCAGGAGCCCCAGACTCCAATCCCTTACCCACGAACTCCACTGGACTTCCTATTAGTTCCTAATGGAAAACACACACAGGGTCCCCCAGGCAGTCCGTGGGGCTCCTGCTTTCAGCCCTCATCGCCCGGGCACAAGGAGAAGGTGTAGGCACAATTATTTAACCATGCTGGCTGGGGAATTCGGGAGTTGAAGCTCACATGTCTTAAAGGGGCCAAGTCTGAGAAACCCTGCCTAGCTGAATAAGCCCCAACTGGCTGGATTCACGCCTTGTGTTAAACCATAAGCAAACTATGATGGATGAGTTCACACAGCCCACAGCTAAGCCAGAATCAGCGGGTAGGTTAGCCTTCACCAGTGTCCTCCGGTAATTTTGCCCTTAGACTGGTCCGCCGGACTGGGAGAGGCAGCACTGAAACAAATTAGAAGTGTCTTCCCGGTTTGCGTGGCATGCTTTCCTCTTTTCCTCCATTCCTCCCATGAAGCCAGATGGAATTTGCAATTATTTCCTGTTTAAGCCAACTCTGTTTAGATAAACGAATATGTTTTGTCTCGTGGTTGGGAAGGATCTCATTTATAAATACAATAAGTAAACCAGCGGTGGATTATTCAAACTAAGCCAGCTTTGCACCCTGGTTTAATGTACTGAATTGTGTTAATGATTAACATGATTTGTTAATATTGTTAGTATTAACGGCAACTCCTGGGCTAGACACCATAGGATGCCATTATTAAATAGCAGTGGAAACGGAGACATTCAAACTCTGGCCCGCGTGGGTTGTGCAAAAGGGGTGTGCAGAGCCTAAGAGATGGTTACAGTTGTTCACCCCCTGCTAAACCATAGTCTAGTGCAATGTCCAAACCAGGCCCCTGAACTTCTGTACAAGGTCCTATGCTAGTAGGGTATCTCTTGATTGGAAGACCACAGACCCAGACAAGGAACTCTGCACTGCTGAACGCTCTCATCATAACCAGTAGAGGAGCATTGGTAATTATTCATTACAGGTAGTCCTCGACTTATGACCATTCCCTTAACGACTGTTCAAAGTTATGACAGTGCTGAAATAAGTGACTTACAACCGGTCCTCGCACTTATGACTGTTGCAGCATCCCGTGGTCACGTGATCAAAATTTGGGTGCTTGGCAACTGGCAAGTATTTATGATGGTTGGAGCATCCCGGGGTCACATGACTGCCATTTCCAACCTTCCCAAGGGGCTTCCGACAAGCAAAGTCAATGGGGGAAGCTGGATTCGTTTAACAACCACATGATTCGCTTACCGACCACAACAAAAAAGGTACTAAAATCAGGCACGACTCACTTAACAACCATGTTGCTTAGTGATGGAAATTCCAGTCCCAATTGTGGTTGTAAGTTGAGGACTACCTGTTTTTAAGAAACTTACATTGTTGGCAAGCGAACGTGCCCTGACAGATGTGCTGAGAAATAAACCCCACTGGATTCAATCAGAATTACTTTCACATTTAATACTCTAAGGTACTTACCTAACAGAATATTAAGAATCTAAGCCTATTATATCAATATCATTGCGTTGAAATAACATATTGTACTAAAACTGAGAAGATGGAGCAACAGATGGTTTTTACAGTTAGATTTAAAAGTCTGTGTTGGGTGTATACAGTACTAACATTTTATGGATATAGTTTTTATTTTCTACAAATGTCACTTGCTTATTCATTATTCTATTTTTCCCCCCGATTTTATTAGCATGGTGGTTGTACTTTTGGTTATTAAATTTACCAATAAATAAATAAAATAAAAAAAAGAGAACTACTTTCAGGGAAATGAGTATAGGATTGCATCTCCTGTAATGACCTTAGAATCAAAAGCCTGGGTACAGAGATATTTTGGGGGAGTCTGGAAAAACATCCCCCGGGTTCCTTTTCTATTCTGCCCAGACACCCACGCTGCTCTCCACTCTTTACAATACCCCTAGCCCCCCGGGCACGCAAAACTCCGTTCCGACTGATTTCATTTAGCCAAAAGGTAATTCTGCAATAAATCTCTTCGTCTTTTGCAGGGCTGATGGGAAACTCCACCGCGAAGAATGCCCAACAGCAAAGTTTGGTCCTAAGTATTTGGACTTGGGATTCAGTTGAGGATTCCTGCCCCGCAAACAATGTTAACTAGTTTTGCCGTGCCCGCATAAGATGGTAATCGCTTCTGTTGGGTTAATTTTGCAGACATTTAATGAAACAGTCATTCCTTATACTTGTTGACGCTCTACGTTTTTGGAGGTCTAGAGATGCCCGTCCTAAGAGGAGAATATTTGTGGGTGCTGAAGGGGGTCGTTTCTCATTCATCTAAGCCCCGAGAACCAGCTGGGGATCTCTCGAGGCTACCCGTCCTGCATATCTTCCCTTGCAAATCTTCATGGTGCCAGAAATGTGCCCCTGTGCCATTCCCAATGCACATTTTAGCCCTTCGTCCCCTCGCACCCGATTCCAATTTTATTTACACCCCAGCGTGGTTATATATAAACCATTCCCTTGACACGTCCAGGCTATTTATGTCCATCTCAGAAAGTTCTCCTGTGTCTGCTTGGCACGGAAGACGCCCTGTGCAGCATGCCCACTGGCCTTGCCCCCCCTCCGCAAACCTGGGTCTATGAACCGGGTTATTCCTACATTTAGCTTTTTAATACGGTCCTGCCGAACAATGCAAAAAAGACGTTTTCTTCAGCGGCATCTTAGCCCGCATGAAAAGTTTTGCTTTTTCAGAGACCGACCCCTGTTTCGAAGCTGGACCTGGGCAGGGGTTTAAAAGAAGAAAGGAAAACGCAAAGCGCACAGGGCTGCAGGAAAGAGAGTCACAGCAACTGGAAGGGTAGCCAACGGCTCTGCCCAGAAAGATGCCCTCCTGGCGTGGCACACCCAGCGTGACCCCGAAAGGCCAGCGGGTCTGTGGGGGCCGTCCACTTACCCCGCCGCTTGGACCCCCGTCTTCGTGGGATGTTACCGTGACCCGGCCGAGAACAGCAGCATGCTGTGGCTCAGGAATCCTGCCCGCTGCTTCCTCTCGCCGGCTCCCGTGCACAAGAGTCCGGTGCACGGCGGCTTCCCCGCTATGGCTTCACTCTTGTGGGGTCCGCCGGTCCGTCCATTGCTGGGGCCAGGATCTAGGCCTCGGCTGAGCTGCGCCAGGCGGGATCTCCTCCTGGCCAAGGAGGGGAGGGGAGGGGAGCCGAGCGCCAGCCCGGCCGCTCCTGCGAGCGCTCCTTCGCTTCCCACCCCCTGCTCTCTCCGTCAATAGCAGCGTGGCCATGGGTTCCTACAGCATCCAATGGTAGCCGTGCCTTTCCCTCTGGCCCCAGAAGCCCTTTGGCCGTGGATATGCGGAGGAGGAGGAGAGCGCGGCTGAGGGTCAGCCCCACGTCACGGGCCGAGGATGGGGGATGTCTGCACAGACCCTGCTTCCCTTCCCTCGTCTTCTTTCTTTCTTTCTTTCTTTCTTTCTTTCTTTCTTTCTTTCTTTCTTTCTTTCTTTCTTTCTTTCT